GTTATCCATATTTCGACCCACTTACCCAATTAGCCAATGCTTGACAATCCTTCATGGCAATTATGTAAATTAGTGATATAACACTTGCACTCACTTTCATTTCCACTGTTATTCTGTCACTCAGTATTTTCTTCATAGATTTAATGTGTGCTTACGATACATTAAAACGAGAACTGGCGCCCAGTACTTCCAACCAGCTATGTTTTCAACCAACTAACAAATTTAATTTTTGGCGACAAAGTAAAAGTGCATTTGAGGGCACGGGTGTTGTGTTAAAGTGATTTCACCAGTAGGCTAAAAACTGTTCTCTTTCACTTGGCCTTCAGAAGAAAGTAAACTTGCTTGATTTCATCGGCGAAGCTAAATTGAGAGGAAAATATTTTGTGTGTATAAGTGCTGTTTTATTTCTATATAACAGTAAATTGACGGACATATTCTGAATTTCTTCACGAATATGAAATGTTTGCTATTTATTTATTTAAATGGAAAAGGAATAATTGCATCGTTATTGCACCACAAAACAATTCAGCTTGAAAATGGTGATCAGCCATATTTAACAAAAATATTGTTTAACATACCGTTCATCCGTGAAGGGTTTTCCATACTTGGCTGTATCCTGAGCAAGACCGTAACTGGCTGAGGTAATTCCAGTCGGATTTCATTTTTTTCGGGCACTAAACGAAAACCGCCGATTAATTTAGTTTTGCTTCAAAAAATTGACCTATACCCCGCCCTAACTTTTTTGATGGTCTTTGTATACTTTATAAGTGGATTAAATTTTAGCTCAAAAATAATTATAACTTTTTGTCCATTCCAATTTGTTATGTAAAAAGGGCTCTTGCCAGATTCTAAATAAGTTGTTCTTAAGAAGCCGGAGAGACTTCTCTGAGGCTGTATTTTACTCGTGCGTTGTAGTTGTACTACAACGTATAATGAAGGAAAATATCATTACTGAATGGAAAATTGTTTAAACATTAAGTTGAAAATCAGGAATTTTTATGAGCGGCGCTTGCAGTTATCCCGCGGCTGGAATTGTTTATCAACGACCTTTATGAAAACACCGTCTTTTTTTAAACACATTTTTAAAAAGCATCATCGGTTCTAAAGTTATGCCCAACAAACGCTTTTTCACAGTTTTTTTAATTATTAAAAGAATCTTCCACAGCCGGAAAGCGCGCAGACTATTGCCCCATTATTCTGACATCGTTACAAACAACTTCCAATAATCTTTTACCTTCATCTATTTAGTATCCGAAACAGGCATAATCTGACTTGGTGTCTCACGGCCAGCGTTCATCCTGTGACATGATGTTTACCGCAGACATAGCCAATTAAGGCTTTTTGTCTTTAATGGTAGCCTGCAAGAGCCTTTGTGGGTTTAGGGCGGGGCTTTTGGTGGTTTCGGGCTGAGAGCGGACGAAGAAGAATAAAAGTAGGGGTACGGAGCGCGAAAAGTAGTGGTTTGTGGCGGTTGGCCTAGAGAGTTAATTTGGAAGAGTTTGAGAGTTTAGGTACTTTCCAGG